ATTATACCCTGAACAGTGCAATAGACACTCACCAAAGTAAAATCACTCAAGAGTTAAAGTCTAGAACCTGGATTCTATGATGGTTCAAGGAGTAAAACAAAACAATAGGAATTCACCCAACAATACAAACAGAAATCTACCCCAAATATCAATCCTTTCAATAAATGTGAATGGCTTGAATTGTCCTCTGAAGAGACACAGACTGGCAGAGTGGATAAAAATCCACGAGCCAAGTATCTGCTATCTACAGGAAATGCATCTAACCCACAAAGGGATGGAAAGCAATCCTCCAGGCAAATGGAAGCCAAAAGAAAATGGGATAGCTATGTTTACTTCAGATAACATAAGCTTTAAAATAGCAAAAGTAAGAAAAAACAAAGATGGCCACTATATAATACTGAAAGGAAAAATCCAACAAGAAGACTTAACAATTCTTAATTTTTATGCACCCAACTCAGGAGCACCCAGATACATAAAGCAAACCCTGTTTAATCTAAATAGCATGATAAACAGTAACCCCATAGTAGCTGGGGATTTCAACACCCCACTGACTGAACAGGACAGATCTTCCAAACAAAAAATAAGCAAGGAAATAATGGACTTAAATAGAACTCTGGAAAAAAAGGCTCTAACAGACATCTACAGAACATTCCATCCAAATAAAGCTGAATATACATTATTCTCATCGGCCCATGGAACTTTATCCAAAATTGACCACATACTAGGCCACAAATCAGACCCCAACAAATTCAAAAAAGTAGAAATTACAGCGTATATCTTCTCAGATCACAGTGGTATAAAATTAGAGTTCAATTCCAACAGAAACACTCACTACTTCACAAAGTCATGGAAATTAAACAATCTATTGCTGAATGACTCTTGGGTCAAGGCGGAGATACAGAGGGCAGTCAAAAGATTCTTCAAAAAAAATGATAACAGGGACACAAGTTGTCAAAATCACTGGGATACAGCAAAAGCTTTCCTGAGAGGAAAACCAATAGCATTAAATGCTCATATCCGCAAAACAGAAAGCTCAAAAATCAACAAACTAATAAACTGTTTCAAGGTACTGGAAAAGGAAAGTCAAATCAATTCCAAGCCTAGGAGAAGAAAAGAGATAACTAAGATTAGAGCAGAACTAAATGAAATTGAGAATAAAAGAACTATATACAGAAGATCAATAAAACCAAAAGCTGTTTTTTTGAAAAGATAAACAAAATTGACAGCCCTCTTGTTAGATTGACAAGAACTAGAAGGGAAAGGACTCTAATAAACTCAATTAGAAATGAAAAAGGAGAGGTCATGACAGACATCATGGAAATACAAAATATTATCTTTGAATACTATAAAAACCTATATGCCCCAAAACTACATAATGTAGAGGAAAGGGACAAATTCTTGGAAACATAAACTTCCCTAAGTTCAATGAGGAGGAAGTAGAATCCTTGAACAGATCAACATCAAGCACAGAAATTGAGGTAGCAATTAAAAACCTTCCAACAAGGAAAAGTTCTGGACCAGATGGGTTCACACCCGAATTTTATCAAACATACAAAGAAGAACTCGTACCTATACTACAGAAATTATTCCACAACATTGAGAAAGATGGTATCCTCCCCAAGTCATTCTACAAAGCCAATATCACCTTGATATGAAAGCCAGGAAAGGACACAACAAAAAAAGAAAACCGTAGACCAATATCTCTCATGAATATAGATGCAAAAATCCTCAACAAAATTTTAGCAAATCGAATCCAACAGCACATCAAAAAAGTAATTCACGATGACCAGGCGGGCTTTATCCCAGAGATGCAAGGCTGGTTCAACATACACAAATCTATAAATGCAATTCACCACATAAATAAAAGCAAGAACAAAGACCATATGATTTTCTCAATAGATGCAGAAAAAGCATTTGACAAAATCCATCACACCTTTATGATAAAAACTCTTAACAAAATAGGCATAGATGGGACATACCTTAAAATTATTAAGGTCATACATGATAAACCCATAGCCAATATGATACTGAATGGGGAAAGATTGAAAGCATTCCCGCTTAGAACTGGAACCAGACAAGTTTGTCCACTATCTCCACTTCTATTCAACATAGTGCTGGAAGTCCTTCCCAGAGCCATCACACAAGACAGGGGAATTAAGGGCATCCAAATGGGGGTAGATGAAATCAAACTCTCACTCTTTGCCAATAATATGATATTATATGTAGAAACCCCCAAGAATTCAACCAAGAAACTCCTGGAATTGATAAATGAATTCAGTAAAGTCTCAGGACACAAAAATAAATGCACACAAATCAGAGGCATTCATATATGACAATAATAGTCAAGCCAAAAATCAAATAAGAAACAGCACCTTTTACAATAGTCTCAAAGAAAATTAAATATATAGGAATATATTTAATGAAAGAGATGAGAGACATAACGGGGAGAATTATGAAACACTAAGAAAAGAAATTGTAGAAGATGTAAACAGATGGAAAAATCTACCTTGCTCATGGATTGGCAGAATCAACCTTGTTAAAATGTCCATACTACCCAAAGTGATCTACAGAATTAATGCAATCCCTATCAAAGTACCATCTTCATTCTGTATATATCTAGAAAAATTAATTCTATGCTTTGTATGGAACCAGAGAAGACCTTGTATAGCCAAAGCAATCTTAAGCAAAAAGAACAAACTGGGAGATATCAGTCTACCAGACTTCAAGCTTTACTACAAGGCTATAGTAACCAAAACATCATGGTACTGGCACAAAAACAGACATATAGACCTTTGGAACAGGACTGAGAACCCAGAAATGAAACCATCCACATATTATCATCTAATCTTTGACAAAGCAGACAAAAATACACGTTGGGGAAAAGAATCTCTTCAATAAATGGTGCTGGGAAAACTGGATAACTACATGCAGAAGATTGAAACTGGATCCCCACCTCTCACCTCTTACAAAAATCAATTCAAGATGGATAACAGACTTAAACCTAAGGCATGAAACCTTAAGAATCCTAGAAGAAAATGTAGGGAAGACTCTTTTAGACATCGGCCTAGGCAAAGAATTTATCAAGAAGACCCCCAAAGCAATCACAGCAGCAACAAAAATTAATAAATGGGACCTTATCAAATTAAAAAGCTTTTGCACAGCTAAGGGGACTATCATTAGAGCAAATAGACAGCCTACAGAATGGGAGAAAATATTTGCATGCTACACATCTGATAAAGGGCTGATAACAAGAATCTATCTAGAACTGAAAAAAATCAAACAATCCCATCAATAAATGGGCAAAGGACATGAACAGAAACTTTTCAAAAGAAGACAGAATAATGGCCAGCAAACATATAAAAAAGTGCTCAACATCTCTAATCATTAGGGAAATGCAAATCAAAACCACAATGATATATTGCCTAACCCCAGTGAGAATGGTCTTTATCAAAAAGCCCCAAAACAGCAAATGCTGTGGATGTGGAGAGATAGGAACACTCTTACACTGCTGGTGGGACTGCAAATTAGTACAACCTCTGTGGAAAATAATTTGGAGATATCTCAAAGAGCTAAAAATAAAAATACCAATTGATCCAGCAATAGCACTACTAGGCATCTACCCAAAGGAACAAAATACACTCTATAATAAAGACATCTGCACTTGAATATTTATGGCAGCACAACTCACTATTGCAAGGATGTGGAAACAACTCAAGTGCCCTTCAATCTATGAGTGGATTAATAAAATATGGTATATGTATACAATGGAATACTACTCAATTATAAAAAACAATGTCATCTAGCACCTTTTATATTATCCTAGATAGAGCTTGAGGCAGTCCTCCTAAGTGAGGTATCACAAGAATGGAAGAATAAGCACCACATGTACACGTCATCAAAATGGCACTAACTGATCAACACTAAAGTGCTCACATGGTAGTAATATTCATTGGGGTTGGGGAGTGAGGGTGGATAAACTCACAACTAATGGAATTGGTGATGATTGTATGAGGGAAGGGCAAGCCTCTAACCCTTGCTTGGGTGAGGCAAAGTCATAACATGTAACCAAAACATTTGTAACCCCATAATATCCTGAAATAAAAAGAAAAAAAATTTAAATTTAAATATGAAAAAATTAACCCGCTAATCTGCAAACAGTAATGGTACAGAATCCAAAGGCCTATTTTGCCCTGTAGATATGATCCACTGAAGCATTTCTCTGCCTGTTTAGAGTTGCCCTGAAGCCTTTCCTAAAGCCAGTGTTGGTTTGAGGATAGGGAGGAAAAAGGTGACTCCTGGGCACAGCGATCCCTGCCCTCCCCAGGCCAATAGTACAAGGGGATGATATAACAAACTGTCCTCAGCTTGTGCTCGAGGAGTTTATGGAAAGATCATTTTCTATTTTATGATGCTCATTCACAATTATAGTCTTGGCTTTAGAAGTTCAATCTTAAAGGTAAAAACCTGAATTTCCAGAGTCCACTAGTTCCTCTTCATGAATGTCACCTTCTAAAGATGCCCTAAGGGAGAGAGTCCAAGGGTGGTAGAGCAATCTCCTTGGGGATTCCCTTCTAGGGAAGTCTTGAGCTTGAAACAGCCTCTAAAAGTTTTAAGCAGGTCCCTGGGGAAACAGGGCATCAGTTATGCAGTATGAGGTAATTATGAGGCAGCTGGCAGAGAGGTAGAGCACCAAGAGTTCAGGACAGCTTACATAAAGGAGATGTGGGTCACTTAGGGGTGGAGCTGTCATCAATGTTATCTACTGAGATCTCTGCCATTTCTAGTTCATAGTACCTATTTACCAGGCAGACAGGGCTGTAATTACATGGACAGAGCAGGGTTAAGGATTAGCTAATCTCACCCTCTTACTGATAGCTGGTGGTGTGAGAAGCAGACTGTCCAATGGAGCAGTATCCAGGGAGGAGGGCAGAACTGCAAGGGAGATGACAAAAGACTGGCGGTCTACTACCTCTTCCAAAGCTCACAGTGAGTGCCTTTGGTGCACTGAGGTGCTCAGGGCTCCTTAGCCGGGCCCAGGGTGTGCAGTCCAGGCTGGGATTTATGCTTCTTCAAGAGAAAGCATGGCTAGGCCGTGGGTGCTGCTTCTAGTGGGCTTCCTTCTCCCTGGGATCCTGTTCTCGGAGGCTGCAAAAATCCTGACAATGTCTACACTGGGTGAGTGCTTGGCTGGAAAATCCAGACACAGGTGGCACAGTTGTCCTTGCTTCTAGGGCTCAGGCTAAGCGTGCTTGATCAGAGAGTCATCCACCTGGTTTTCCAGACTGGAATTTTGTACTGGCCTGGAGGAAAGTGGAATTAACATGATTGTGGGGCAGAGACGGGTCTCTACTGCTGAGGTGGACAAGATAGTTTTGCAGAAAACATAAAATCCTTCCCTCTCTCTTCCTATTTAGGATGTGTTGCCCATTGTGCAGGGCTGGTGCCAGAGGTTTGAAATCCATCCCAGAGCATAAGCCCCTGGGCTGCCTTCTGCAGGGCTCAATGGGACCTTCAGAGGATCACCCTAAACTCTAGGGGAGCCGATGCACAGTAGCTTTCAGTAGAAATTACGACGAACAGTTTCAGGCTCTTGCAGGTCAGGGAAGGCACTCCTGGGGCAGCACTGCACATTTTCTGAAGCTGCATCAGAGTCAAAGTAGAGTAGGGAAGGTATTTCCCGACAGTAATGATAGTGGAGGGTTTTCATCCAGAGGAAACCTGCAGAACTCTCTAAGACTGAGGGAGGACCCAGGTCACTCAGTCGTTTTGGACCTTTCTTCCTTTCACTTGTGCTGCTGAAAGTCTTTGAAGGACTCATGGGACTGTGAATTCTGCATTTTGTGGCCTTAGTTTTATTTCCTTTACTTCTTGCCTAAAGGGAATGATGATGAAAGAGAAAAACGTGTCAGAGTAAAATGGTCATGCCAGGATGGAGCTTCCCTAAGACTTTATTTCAACACATCATTGGCTCTATTAGATCACTTTTACGTCACTGAGAATCAGGGCTCTGATGGATCGCCTGCCTCCTAGGAACTCTTCACACTGCTATGTGCAACACTGTGCCTACATTTTCCACCAATCCAGTTACTTCTTTTGGATATGGTATCATCATAAGGCCTTTTTTAAAATGCAGCATTAGCTTAGGATGAGGAACTCCTAATCGTAAGCACAGGGAAGCTCATCACATTGCTTGGAGACTATGAGTCACAAGTGGCAATCTGTGATGGAGGATTTCCACTGGTTAAGGATTTGGGCAGTCATGCTCTGGGTGCATGGGATGTGGGTTACCCAGGGGGAGATGGACAGACTGACAAAACTTATGTTCCTCTAATTACTGTCAACTTCCTGTTCCCCTACCCTTCTACTCCTCACCTTAATCACCCTATGTACGTCAGACACTGTATTCTCAGCATTACAGAACTGAAGTTGTGCATTGTTCCTAGGTGGAAGCCATTATCTACTCACGGGCCGGGTCTCTGAGATTCTTCAAGATCATGGTCATAATGTCACCATGCTTCGTCAGAGAGGAAGTTCATTTATATCAGGTATCTTTTCTCACTAATTCGTGATTTCTTCTACTCCAGGAAAAGAACACGATGCCTTCTGCATAGAAAAGCTTAGCAAAATATTTTTAAACATGTATTTGAATTGAAAAAATTAAGAAAGTGTATGTGCATGTTTGTGCATATAAACTGTTTGAAATCTTCTTAAGCACGGTCTACCAGGACTCATCACTCCATATTCTTATATTTTTCTCCCTTATTTGTCTTCTACTCCACCCCAAGCAATCATCCACAAATTATACACATTATTTTAATAAATGCTTCTTTATACCATGGCTTAGAAATATATTGAACAAATTAATGGGCCACGTATAACACTTCTTCTATGTAAGGATCACTTTTCTTTTTATATATCATAGATTCCTCTTTTTCCTTTTATGATATCTGAAATTTGAAGAAGCTTTCTCAGGGAACCCCTTATTCAGACAGCTAAAATAGAATCTACTATTGGGATGATCTTGGATTCTTGAAAAATAAATGGCTGCCCATGGTGATGTCAGAAATTCTTAAATGAGTCATCAAATCCAAAGAGTTTTAGCTAAAACAAAGATCCTCATAAATCTTGTTACCTCTTCTCCATTGACTCACAAGAAAACAGAAGCCCAGAAAACTTGAAAGATTTGCTCAAGGTCACATGGCAGGTTAATAACACAGTTGGGTGTGTTTAGGACTTGAGACTCTGGATTGCTCAATAAGGAAGTGTTGCTCAGGCCTTAATTAAAAAAAAATCCAAAAGCCAGAAATTTTCGGGAACAAAATTCTGAGATGTTATAAAACTTTGAAGGTGACTTCAGGCTTGGTTAGTGTTCAGACTTTTAAAACAATTTTTTTCGTAAACTTTCTCTAATTTAATTTTTATATTTTTTGTCGTAGTAAAATGTACATAACATAAAACCTACCATTTTAACCATTTTAAGTACATTTTAGTAACTTTCGGGACATTCACATTGCAGTACAACACTCACCACCATCCATCTCCAGAACTTTTTTATCATCATAAACTGGAGCTGTACCCACTAAACAGTAACTCCCTGTTGCCTGCTGCCCCAGCCCCTGGGACCATTGTTCTGCTTTATTTCTGTATTAATTTGACTCTTGTGGGTACAGTGTATGAGTGGGATGCTGCAATATTTGTCCTCTTGTGTCTGCCTTGCTTCACTCAGCACAATGTCTTCTGGGGTCATCCATGTTGTAGCATGTGTCAGAATTTCTTTCCTTTTTAAGGCTGAATAAATATTCCATTCTATGCATATCACACATTTTGTTTCTCCATTTCTCCATTGATGGAAATTTGGGTTGTTTCCACTTTTGACTATTGTGAATTATGCTGCTATGAGGGTTTGTATACAAATAACTTTTGGAGTCCCTGCTTAAAACTGTTTTAATCATTGTTTGGATTAGATTTCCCATTTTTCACTGACCATTATTCATATCTCTTTGTATCTGCCTTGACTGGATGTCTGATTAAATAGTGATAGTATATTAATAT